GATCAGCGGCTACAGGACTCTTATTTTTGTGATATGCAGCATGTCTGGCTGTGTGGGCATGAGGAACTGAAATGTCCTCTGTTGACTTTTTATACCTCCAGATTGTTCATTGCTCATTTTGGAAAACGGAAGCTCTCCCTGTGACCAAATTTACAGGTTTTGCTCTCAACTTGGTGTAACCTTTTTCTTCCTTAAACCTCATTGGTAACTTATGTCCCATAATAAGGAAGGGGATAATGGTTACCTTCTTCACTCCAAAATTGTTCAGGTAGACTGCTCTTTATCTATGATGGTTGCTCGAATGCCTACAGAAGCTTAAAGGGTCCTCCGACCCTTTAAAAATAGTGAGAAAGTTTCAGGCTTTGACAGTGTGCTACCCAAAGATGTAATTTAATTAGGGAGTTCTTAAATTTTCTGGTTAATGCTACTTTGGGAAATCAGGCTTTTCTTCTCTACTGATAAATTATTACTTAAATTACCTGTTTTCTTTTCTTTGGATTTAAAAATACTACCTTAAGAATTATTATTATTATTATTATTGAGATAGGGTCTCACTTTTGTAGCCCTCATTGGCCTTGAACTCACAGAAATCTGCCTGCCCCTGCCTCCCTACTGCTGGAACTAAAGGTGTGTGCCACTGTGCCTGGCACAAGAAGTTATTTTCATATTAAAATTTTTCTCAATTTCAGTTCAGTTGTTTGAAAGTTAACTTAGTTCAGAGATCTAGTCCTAGATGAGGTGATCATGACTTTGGACAATTTCTTCTTCCAGATTTCCTTGGTGGGTTCAATTCTGGTGACAGTTGAGATCACAGAGTTTGCTGTGGAATTAGAAAGGCCAATTGCTGCTTCCCATAGACTGGTGTGAAAAGTACCAACTGAAAGGTGTCAACTTGTAAATACCCTTGGCTGTTGGGCTCCCTTGGAATTGTATGGAGGTATTGAATTCTGATACCTCACCAGCCATCTGCAGAGACACTGTCAGGAGCATTTCCCTCTTGCTTGCTCAGGTAGAGCTGGTTATAGGATTCCTTGACAGCTGGCTGTGGATACAATGTCCCAGGGGTTACTGGGAGATATGTGGGACTTAGAAATTGTCTGTATATGCTCTGTTGTGCTGGGGAATATCTGTTGATATTGTGGGTTCCAAAGAAGTCTAGATCTTAAAGGGTGGTACTCTGTCCTTACAGCACCTCCCCATAAGCCCTCTTTGTTCATTGATTTTCAAAAACAACAGGAGACAGGAAACCCTCACTTGACAAGGTTCCAGAAGCACCCAGCTGGTTTGTTTCTAGCCAGGGTCATGGCGTGTTCATTTCCCAAGGAAGAGTGGGACCGGGAGGCCTCTGGGCCCTTCTGCAGAGGTATATATGCAAATCAGAGGCACAGAGCCATGTTCCTGTGTCTGAATTGGGCTGAGATGTGTGCATATGTGATTGAGCCTTTCTTGTTGCCAAACTGAACTAAGAAGGTGACCACCACACTTAGACCATCCCCCCTCTAACCTATGCCTCAAATTTTTCCCAAGGGTATGGTCTCAGGCTGGGCTTTGGCCCTAAGGAATAGCAGGAAGCTTAAGAGGAGACAATCAGGGCTGGGGAGATGGCTCAAACAGGGCTGGAGAGATGGCTCAATGGTTAAGAACACTAACTGTTCTTTCAGAAGACCCAGGTTCGAATCCCAGCACCCACATGGCAGTTAACAACTGTCTGTAACTCCAGTTCCAGGGGATCCAACAGTCTCTTCTGTCCTCCATGGGCATTGCACGACACAGGTGCACTTACCTAAAGGCAGGCAATACATGCATACACAAAAAATAACAAATAAAATATTAACAAAAAAAGAGACAATCTTAAGTGATGTGGTTGTGAAAAAAAATTGATGTGGTCATAGATGACCCTGAGAAGGAGGAGCAGAATGAAGGAGAGGCAGATACCCTGCTATCTCTCATGTCAGTACACACTGGGATCTGTGGGTAGCACTGGGCATCCTTCTATAGACAGGGGAGTAGCAAGCAGAGCTTGTGCAAGAGTGACACACTCAGATGGGAGGCTGGGGCTTGCAAACATGTCACTGAGAAATGGATGAAGGAATGAGAAGTTCCTTCACATGTATAAGCTCCTTGTGCTGGAGAGGGACACTCCTGCCATAGTAATGATCACGTTCACTCACATGTACTGACTGCCTCATGCCAAGCTCTGTTGTAAGCATATCACACGTAATTCTCAAGTTATTCTACAATGCACATACCACTGTGCACTTTATAGGTAAGAAAGTTGTAAGTGGATGATGAGTTGCAAGTTTCATTATGAAGGGCCTATTTATGATGCTTGTTACGCTAAGGCTGGTTAGGAAGGATCTCTCACCAAAGGAAAGTGGATGGAGGAAAGGAAAAGGAAATGATATGTATAATATGTGTTAAATGTACCATGTCCCAGGAGTACCCCGTGTATTATTTCAACCAGTCCTCACAACAATTGTATGAGAGAGGGCCTAAACCACTTTATAGATGAGGAAACTGAGATCTAGAGTCTTCAAATAACTATGAGACTTTTTCCCAATAAGTGGCAGCCCAGATTTGAATGCAGGTATTTTTGGATCTCAAGTCTATTGTCACTGCTGTCTAGAACAGAGATGAAGGTGGTCCCAAGGCACAGATTCCTGCTGGCTTCTCCTGATAGACACTCTTCTGTTAGTCCAAACTTCACATTTGTGATGCTCATTGGTAACTGTTTTATTCTTTCTTTTTCTACTATAGTGCCAAGACCCACATAGCAGGAGCCACATCCATCTGCATTCTTAGTGCTCAGGAACGCTAAGAATGGAAGGATGAGTGTGGGAGCACAGACCCCTTTTTATGATGGGGGAACCTAAAATGAAGATCATCTCTTACTCAAATACTATGGAGAGGTTCTAGTTAAATCAGGGGTGAACTATGTGCTCTAATCCTACTTACCTTCAGAATTATTTATTTATTTATATTTATTTTCTTCTGTGTGTCAGTGTTTTGCCTGCATGTATGTAAGCATACCCATGTGGACAATACCTATGGAAGCCAGAAGAGGGAATCAGAGCCCCCAAAACTAGAGTTATGGATGATCATTAGCCCCCATTATGGGTGCTAGAAACTGAACCCAGGTCCTCTGCAAGAGCAGCCAGTGCTCTTAATTGCTGAGCCATCTCTCCAATCCCTACTGGAAGGATTTTTATGCATACAGACTCCCAGGCTTATATAGATCCCCAAAATCAGATTCTATGGGAACAGGACCCTGGGTATCTGTATTTTGCATCAGTGTCTAGTTGATTATGCTTTGTGGTGAAGTGAGATACTGCAGTATATATGGGTCTAGCCTAGTCTGAGTTTTGGAGTCCTAGCTCACGCCATCATCTTGGGCTCATTTCCCTCCACCTGCTGGCTATGCCTAGCATTTTTGTCTGCTGGCCTTCAAGGCCAGGCCATGCTGGTGCTGAGAGCCTAAGAGCCCAGAGGGAGGTCTAGTGCAGAGTCAAGTACAAGAACTTATCGGCTGGGTATTTACTGAACAAAGTTCAACCAAGGCAGTCCTGCAGATCCGGGTTTGATAGATACCCAGGCTTCCGGGGCCTTTGATTCACAGCCTTGGTCCCTGGACCCTTATCAGTGCCTGATAATGGGTTCCCTATGTGAGTCCAGAAGGCCAGTGCTTCTTAATGTTGAATGACTTAGACCTTGGCTTTCCTTCCATGGGTCCAGCCACATGAACAGGCAGGTTGTCTCTGGTCTCCCAGGCAAGGAAGGGCCCTATGCGCTGGCTCAAAGTTTGGTCAGTGCTTTGGGTTCTTGGCTTTTATGACAAAAGGGAAAGGAAACCTTTTCACAGCAAAGTAGATACTCTGGCACTAGAACACATGTGTCATCACTGAGTATTTTTCCCATATACTGAAGGTCATGGAGGACTTGGAGCCACTAGTTTCCACCTAGTCACTCTAAAAGTCCAGGAGAGATAAGGGGAAGATAAACAGAAGTACATTTTAAAGAATCACTTAATTGTTTAATTAACAAACAATCACTGAATAAGCTTGTAGACATGCCATTTGAGAAGGTAGAAATAACGTTGACTATCCTGAGTTTATAAAGTTGGGGGCATTTGAAATTTACATCAATAAGGATAGCTAATTATGTAGCAGGCTGAAAATGCATTGAATTTTGGGGTAAAGGGTGTAGCTCAGTGGTAGAGCAGACTAGCCTAGCATGTCTGAGGCTCTGGGTTCTATCCTTAACATCAACAGAACAAAGCAAATGAAACAGGAAAATAAGCAAAACCCTGTTTGTTGAATGTTGACTTAGTGTCTGATTTTATATGATACATATTACTTTTCACTTAGTATCCCAGGAAACTCTGCCCAACATTCTTCTGATAAGAAACTGCAGATTGAGAGGCTCAGAGAAGTTTGAGAACTTCATAGGCTTCCACAGCTAGGTTGTGACAGAGGTAGGATCTGGGTCCTGTCACATTGGGCTCAGAATTCCTGGTCCAGTTGTCATCCTTCACTGCCACTGTAAGAATACTAATCAGATCAGGGTGTGCTGGAGAAGTGGATCAGGAATTCCATGATTTTCAGGGGTCAGAGAAGTGGCCCCAGAATCAAAGTTCTAGCTATCATAAACAGCAGTTTATGAAGAGAGGGAGATGAAACATGTCGGGATATGCTGAGAGGCAGAGCTAGGCCTTCCTGCGGGAGCCAGTTTACAAAGCGTGAAAGGCCGCATTGGGAAGCCCTGTCAATTCTAGAGAAAGGGGAAAGGCCTAAATGGTCTGAGTGTAGTAGAACCACAAAAGTTTAGGGGCAGGGAGAATGATGTACCCAGTAGAAATACAGAAAGCCTCACAGAGCTATCAGATTCTCTCTGTTCAAGCCCAACTTAGAGAGCAGACAGAGCCCCAAGGAAATGGGAACTTGATTTGGGGGGCATCCTAGAAGAGCTGTGGGTTCCAGTGACATTCCTCTTTATATCCATAGCTCCAGAGCAAGCTCCGGCCCCGCCACGGCCATACCAGGGTGTCCGAGTCAAGGAGCCGGTGAAGGAGTTGCTGAGAAGAAAGCGTGGCCACACCAGCAGTGGGGCAGCCGGCCCACCAACTGCGGTGAGGGGTTGCTGTGAACTGTGTGCATGCATGCATGTGTGTATGTTTGCATGCATGCTTGTACATATATATTCATGTGGTTGGGCTGGTGGAGGTAGCCAGAGTGATAAGGCAAGAGTGTACTTCCTTAATTCCTGGGACACCCATGTGACATAAAGGCAACAGGTTACATGGAGAGAAGGTGGACCCTGGCACACTATTCCTTGGAATGGGATAAGGGCTAGTAGGCTTCTTGCTTCTTTCCACTGGAAAAAAGTTGATATTTCTAGAAGACCATGGTATGAAGATATTGGAAAAAGTTATTGATAAGGTCTGAGGGAGTTAATGGCACACACCTTCATATAAGTTGGGAACTCCCTCTGGGAAGATAAATATACAGTTCCTTAAGTGCATAGTCTTCTTGCAAAACAGAAATACAAATCCCTCAAAAAATGCAGATGGTAATGGTTGGGGTGTGGAGTGGGTGTCTTGTTCTAGCAAGCAAGATTCTTCCCTGGGTTCGCTGACTCTGGGCCCCCTGGGAGTCCCTGCAGAGGGTGTGCTGGAGATGGATAGATACCCATTCTGGTCTTCTTGTCTCCCTTCTAGGTAGTGCTGCCCCACCAGCCCCTGGCGACCTACACCACAGTGGGTAAGAGCTCTCCTTGGCAGTCCTGATCTCCTAGGGCCGTCCTCCAGTGGCACCTGCAGTTCTGCAATTTTCTTTTCCCCATAGGTCCTTCCTGCCTTGACATGGAGGTCTCTGCTTCCACGGTGACAGAGGATGGGGCTTTGTGTGCTGGCTGGCTCTCCCAACCTGCCCCAGCCACCCTCCAGCCCTTGGCCCCATGGACACCCTACACCGAGTATGTGTCCCATGAAGCTGTCAGCTGCCCCTACTCAGCTGACATGTATGTGCAGCCCGTGTGCCCCAGCTACACGGTGGTGGGGCCCTCTTCAGTGCTGACCTATGCCTCCCCGCCACTCATCACAAATGTTGCGGTATGTCACACTAAAGCGTGCCTTGAACCTGCCCATGCTGACGGCACCTTCTTAGAAGACCCTGATTTTCCTTGTTATTGCTTTCCAGGGTTATTATGTCACCTAAGTCACTGCATTTTCCAGGGTGGCTTGCTCCTATTTCTATTGACCTAAAGTATCTTCCACAAAGGCATTGCATGCTGTCCTGTCATGCCCTTTACTAGTCTAGGTTGAGAAGGTCTCCTCTTCCCAAGTCTCCCCAGATGCCCTGGAAGCAACAGGTCTCAATGAGCGAAGCTTTTAGGGAATGGGGTACCAAGTGAGATTTGTGTAGGGTCTGGGGCCACAGCTAGCTTTTCCTGTCAGTTCAGATAACCTAGGATGTGATACTTCACTTAGTAATGGGAATTGCCATAGGACTTCTAGGCTGAGCAAAAGTTGATACAACTTATTAAGAAAATCACTTTGGAATCAGCCCCACCTGTAGGGTAATTTTTTTCAGTTCTCATTCTCATGTTTCATTCTAATGTTAGGCATGCAACACCCCCTCCTCCTTTACATGCTGTTTGGCTGGAATTAGTGACTTGACCTCTCTGAATCCAGTGTTATCATACATAAGATGGAAGATACTAACATGAGGGTTATTGTTGGGATCAGTTGAGTTGGTACATATGGAACTGTGACTAGCATATAGCATATATCACTCAATAAATCCTAGCTGTTATCCTCAAATCACAGCCTGACAGCAATATCAATAAAGGACTGCTTTCAAGTACCCAGTAGGCTAGGAAACCCTCTCACCCTCATCACCACTGAGGTGGAGGGAAGGAGTCAGAGTTTTATGGGATTGGTGCCTGTGTGATCAAAACAGTGAGAATCCCTTAATTGTTCTGGGGAAGAAAAGTCATAGAGTGCAGTGGTAGCCAGCTCGACATGTGGGAAATCTGGTTAGCAGGAGCTTCCTGAGTAGTCAGAGCTCACCCTTGGTGGTAATGCTTGCTTTGGTTCCTGGTCTCCTGTTTCCCTTTAGGGTTCAGTGCCATTCCAATGTAACCAATGCCTCCAGAACATCCTGGCTAACTATCCTGGCTAGTCCTGTAGAGGCCTTCTCTGCCAAACCACCTGGCTACTCAACAAACTGATTTTGAGGGGGTCTTGAGACAGCGAGTAGGAAGGAGTTAATTGAACACTTTCCCCAGGCAACTCATTTTCATAGCAGAAGGCCTTGGGTGGAGGACATAGTGGTTCCCAGCTATTTCATTACTGAGGGTTCTTTTTATTACTTATCCCCTTTCATCATCCCCACCTTCTGCTTTGAAAGGCTTTGTGTATCAAACAAACTGTATTTATTAAGAAATAATTTATTTGTTTTGCCATTTTGTAAATTAACTCATCAAAGCTGGCTTGAGCTACCAGCTCCACACTCCAGATCAGCAGAGATAAGACCTGCAATTCTATCCCTTGCCAAGGAATGCACAGTTGCAGTTGACCTTTATTGGTAGAGGAGTTAGAAAGGAAAGATTTCCATTTGGATTTTTTGAAATGAAAATAGTGAGGTTTTCCCAGGTTCTGGCTGGCTTCAGGAAGTCAAGTCAGGGACCATGGAAATCCCACTGAAGAAGTTGTGTGGACAGTAGAATATACACTGTACACTGTATGTCGGGGATCCCGAGCTCCATTGTCCCAAGCTACAAAGCCTCTCAAACTGTGGTCCCTGCCCCAGTCACATTGACATCCCCTGAGGTCTGATTCTACATGCAGAATCCCAGGCCCTACTCCAGCCTTCTTGGATCAGAATCTGTATTGTGGTAAATTCCCCAGGAGGCTAATGAAAGTTCTTCCCACAGTGACTTTTTAACAGCTTACTCTTTTTTAAAATTATTTTTTATTAACAGTTTACTCTTAAGACACAGCAGCAAGTAGAGAGATGAATAGGGACGGAAGGGGTGGGTTGGCCTGTCTTGTATAGAACTTCCGTGCAGAGAACTTCCTTTTCTATCTGCTTTCCTCTGCTGTGCATTAGTAAGAACACAGGTCCTGTCTCTCTGACTTGAGCCTTTTAAGAATAGTTGCTGTGTAAATGTGACATATGGTTTGTAGAGTGCTTGGGAGAATGGTTCCCTGTCATGGGGCATGGGTAAGAGATGGCATAGGCCACACAATAGCAGGAAGAGGCCACGTTTGCTGACATACAACATTCCCACGCCCCAGGAACTGCTGGGCCTCCCTGTTCCAGTCACCAACAAAAGGGTAAGAGATGATAGAGCTGTGCTGGCCCATGGGGACCTCAGGATGCTAGAGCTACTCTGTGGGTCCATGATCACCTTTCTGTTTGGGCTGGGCATCTTCAAGAATACAGCTCCTCATTTAACATGTATTTTCATAGATTTAAGATGCATGTATTTTCATGTTTTAAGATTTGTGCAACTGGGATACATTTTTAAAAATATTCAACAAAATCTGGAAAACCTTCTGTAATTTGCTCAGAGGAATAACTTCCTTACTGTCTGTATTCCATTTCATAGGTGAGAAAAGCGAGACTTCCAAGTTGGGAAGTAGGACATAGAGTCAGAGGTGACAAGTGAGGGACATGGTTGAAGCTTGGCAGGCTCTCCTTCAGGGAGGCTGAGCAGGAGGAGGGAGAGCCCCGTGAAATGAGATGTCAGGACATGCAGAGTGGAGAGGGAACCGGAGATCCCACTGGGGCAAGGACGGGCAAGTGGACATCCCAGGCTTGCTAACCATTGGTCCTGTGTTTTCCTATCACAGCCAAGAAGCACTGCTACACCTGCCGTGGGGCCCCAGCTGGAGTCTCCAGAGCACCAGGCACCCCTCACCTATTTCCCATGGCCTCAACCCCTTTCCACACTGCCTACTTCCAGCTTGCAGTACCAGCCTCCAGCCCCAGCCCTACCTGGGCCCCAGTTTGTCCAGCTCCCCATCTCTATCCCTGAGCCAGTCCTTCAGGACATGGATGACCCCAGAAGGGCCATCAGTACCTTGACCATTGACAAGCTGCTTCTGGAAGAAGAAGATAGCAACGCCTATGAGCTCAATCATGGCCTCTCGGTGGAGGGCTTTTAGGGCTGGTTTGTGCCTGAGAAATTGAGATTTAAAAAGAGCTTGAATGGAACCCAGATTCCTATATGTGTGAAGTACCCATTTCATAACTACTATTTCTACCCCAAACTAAATTGTACTCTTCCCTCCCTCCCCCTCCCTCCGCCTTCCCTCCCTCCCTCTCTCTCTCCCTCCTTTCACTTTCTCCCTTCTCTCCACCCTCTCTCATCTCTCTCCTCCTTTCTTTTCCCAGATTTCCCCTTTGGGAGAGGAAATTACAGAGTTACTAAGGACAATGTTTTTTGCAACATTATTTTTTCAGCAACATTTTTTATTGAATTGTTGTGAATGTCATACAATATACTTTGATCATATTTAGATCCCCTCCCCTATGTGCAGTCCCTTACCATGCCCCCCTCAATTTAATGCACTCCATTATATATAATATCCAACATATATAATATCATGTAAATACACTTAGACACATATAGCTCTACGCCGAAGCACACTTGAGGATACAAGCTTGGCTCAATAAGCCTTAAGAGCATTTTATGCTGAATGTTACCAAATCTGCAGCCCAGAGGCTCCCATAGCTGTCATAGCTCATTCCTTAGGAAAGTCCCTGTCTCTCTGATGACACCTGCTTCTCCTTAGCAGCAGCAATATGGTGACTGCCCTAAGGCCACTCACACTCCCTGCTAGTCTGAGACACATGGAGTGCCTATAGGGAGACCAGTGCTGCCAGCACCTCCCAGCTGAGTTGGCCACAGGCAGCTGTGAGTCCTTGATTTGTCACTTCCCACAGTTGCTTTTTGTTTTGGGTTCTCAGTCTCGGCCAGATTTATAGTCCAAGCAGCTGTTTCAGGGCTGGGGCTCCACTTGGTACTGGGTTGGGGGTAGGGTGGGACAGGAATAGTCAGTGATGGGAGACAGAGCCAAGGAGCAAGGCACATGCCTGAGTGTCTGTAATTGGAGAGACAGTGAGTGGGGAATGAGAGGCTGAGGAATGATTTAGCTCCAACTACAACCAATTTTGGGAAAATGTCACTTTAAGAGGTCGTTTTGCAGCAATTCTTGAAGATACTTGCAAGGGAAAGTGGGTTGTGATAAACAGGATGAATGATGTACCTGTCCATTTGTGTCTCTCTGCAGGTACTGAACCATGACCTGATCATTTAAGTAGTTTTTGTCAGGGTATTTTGTCATAGCAAAAAGAAAAAAAACAAACAAACAAAAATGAAAACCAGAGATGCCCGCTGAAGCCTAACAGTGAGGAATGGCCCTGCTTATGTGGGCTGTTTTTCTTCTCATGAGTCACCCATGAGGCACTATGAAGTAGAGCCAAGGGCTCTTTTGTCTGATCACCATCCTTATCCAGGGTTCTAGAGCCGTAGACAACAGGCCCATTAGTTTTCATTTAAAATTTTATTTTCTGCTGGCAAAGCATTGGATTTTCAGGGGACTGAGTGCAGCCTTTTCTGGGTGCTTAGCTCCTGAGGTGGCTGTGTATTTGGAAATTGGCATGTTGTCTGTTAGTGGTACCATAATCATGATTAGGCACACACTCTAGTCTGCAGAATCCATGTAGAATTAATAGACAGTAATATACTTTTCTGGAAGATGACAGTTTCTTACACACACACACACACACACACACACACACACACACACCTTTTAAAAACCAAACACACACACACACACACACACACACACACACACACACACACACCCCTTTTAAAAACCATTTTAAATAAGACTGGAGAAAGTTATCTGCTTTGGATTTTTTTCCTGCTTTGCATGTATTTTTATACAAAATTCTCAATAGTTGTGAGAATGTCTGTATGGTATGCTTATCTTGAATTGTGTATTTCACTTTAATGTTTAGAATTAAAAGCTTATTAACAGTATGCTAGATGGTAAATTTACACCTCTCTTGGTAATTATGATGGATAGGAGGAGAGGAGAGGCCTCAGCCAGTTAATTAAAGACCAGTTTTCCTATAAAAACACTATGTGAAAGAGCCAGAGGCAGTTGATGACCACTAGGGAACAGTTTCCAGACAGCTGGAAAGTTTCTCATATGAACTTATAGCAATGGTAACAGCATGCACAAGACCCATGCAAGTTCAAACCAGAGAAAACTCCAGCATAGAAGTGGGGAGGTAGGTAAGTAGCTCCGACTTTAACTGAGGAACTATTAGCAAATGATAACTACTGGGAGAGGGAGAGGTAGTTTTCTTTAATGATGTTGTGCTGGCCAGAGAGGCTCCATTTTGAAATCTCCATCTCAAGGAAGTAACTCTGAGCTGAGTTCTCCCCTACCTCCAGTTCTTGTAAGTAACCCGGTAGTCCTTGTAAATCATTTGGCCTTCCTTGTAGGACCACAGGAGAACAAAAGCAGGTTTTGCAAAGTCCCTAGCTGATGTCTCTAACTGCTCATTCTGGTTTCTGTAAACGTGCTTATCGCTCTGTCGGGAAGGAAATGGGGATCGCAAACTCCTTGCAGCTGCGGGTTCCACAGAGTGATGGCGCCACTCAGTTGCTGTAACTGTTTTCCTGTGTCCCTGCTTGTTTGTTCAAAAAGTTGAGAAATGTCCTGTTTATCTGATCTTTAAACAATGTATAGAAACTGTATAGAAACTGTGCCCCCCCCCAAAAAAACTGTGACCCCCCGAAAGCCCCTCTACCGTGGACCCTGCAAACTGTATAACTGACATGATGTGATTAATCACCGCCTGCCTGTGTAATCGATACCCCCACCTGGAAAGTCCCCTTGTGTTTTTTGATTTCAAAGCAGCCTCCCCACTCCCTCGGGGCTGCAGTCCTTATTCCTGAGTTGCGGATTGTAGTCCAAGCTAGCTTGAATAAAATTTTGAATTAAAATCTGACCCAGTGTTTGGTGGTCTTTTCCAGGTGGTCCCGAACTCTGTAACATTTGGAGGTCCCACTGAGATCCCAGGAGACCCCAGACCGGGGCAGCTGACCTGGGACAGGCCCGATTTCAAGGCGAACCCCCTGGTGGGTTCTGTGGCCTTTGGGAGCCTGGCCAATTGTCCAAATTATCCAAATTGAAAGTAAAATCCAGGGGCTGCCAGAGCGCTGAATTCAGAACCGATTGGCGAGTTTTTTTTTTTTCCGGGGGCGGGGGTACAGGACATTTGGTGAGACTTCAAACAGATTGAATGCAATTGTAGTTGGGTCTCCGGGGATAGGAGGAGACGTTCTCCTAGCCCAAATGGTTAAGGTGCCGTGAGTGAATGAGTGATGAAGGTGCTGCGTGTTCAGTCTTTGGTCCATGTTTGTCTGGTTATCTCAGTTTGCTGGGATTTTCTGTCTCTTTGTGCTTCTCACGTTTGTCTGATGGATTAGTGTTTTCTGGTGTGCCTGTAAGTTTTGTTGTAGAAATGGGAACCTCCTCCAATCAACACCATTGGACTGTATGTTGAAGAATTTCGTGAGTTCTGCAAGGTGGACTACAGAGTGAAACTGTCACCAAGAAAACTTCACACTTATTGCGAATTAGAATGGCCTATCTTTGACTAGGTAGGTTGGACAGATGCAGGGTCCTTTGACACTGTAACCTTCAGATGAGTCTGGCAGGTGGTCACCAGGAACCCTGGCCATCTGGATCAATTCCCATATATTGATATAATGTATGGGATACAATGTTATTCCATTTGAATGGGATCCTCCATTTTGGTGACTAGAAATAGAGAGCCCACCCTAAACCCACAGTCTGGGCCCTCATTTTACTCCCCAAGGAGGAGGATGACTTTCCCCCACCTTACAACTCCCCTCCCCCCTCAGCTGGTTCAAGATCCTACTGTATCTGAGGGAGGTCCTCCTGCCCCTACCCCTCCAGCCCCAAGGCCCTATCCGTACTTATCTTCACCCTCCCATACCTGGAGTGGTCCAGACTATAACCCTTCCCCCTCCAGTTGTCCTTCCCCTTAGGGAAGCCCCGCCTTGGGCCTGCTCCTATAGATGAAGAGGGCAGAGCCTGACCCCCCTTTATGGTCTATGTCTCCTTCTCAACTAGTGACCTGTATAATTGGAAGGCACAGAATCTGCCTTTTTTTTTTTTTTTTCTGAGAAACCCCAGGCTCTTATCAGCTTGTTGAAAACTGTTTTCTTTATCCACCAACCAACATGGGCCGATTGTAGACAACTTTTGGGAACCCTCTTCACAGCTGAGGAAAGAGACTGGATCCTGACGGAGGCCTGCAAGGCAGTGGCGGCCCTAGGGCAGCAGGAAGTGACACCAAGGCCAGAGTTGAGAGGGTTTTACCCTTGACACTTCCAAACTGGGATCCCAACACTGACCAAGGTAAGAGGCCCTAGACACCTATCACTAAGCCCTCCTGACTGGAATGAGAGCAGCAGCTAGGAAACCCACCAACCTTTCAAAGGTAACAGAGGTAATCCAGGGAAATCAGGAATCTCCTTGTGCCTTTCTGGAATGCCTCCAGGAAGCCTACTGGGAGTTACTTCCACTAACCCAGATGCTCCAGAAAACCAGCAGGCCATCAATATGTTTTGTGACCCAGTCAGCCCTGGACATTCACAGAAAGTTACAAAAACTAGAAGGGTTTGAAGGCATGAACAGGTCTCAGTTATTAGAAATAGCCCAGAAAACCTTTAACAATAGAGAGCTAGATGAGAAGAAAGATAAGAGAATTAGCTAAAATTATGGTAGCCACTTTCAGGGAGGAAAGAGAGGGACATCAGAGACACGTCAGACGACCCAATCAACCTCAAACCCAGTTAGAGAAAGACCAACGGGCTTATTGCAAGGAGAAAGGACACTGGAAGAATGAATGCCCACAGTGCAGCCAAGGGAAAGGAAAACAAATCCTCAGTCTGGCTGAAACGGACTGACCTGGCCAGGGCTCTTCAATAGTAATGAGCTCCCGAGAGCCCATGGTGGCAGGGAAAACAGTGGATATGAGGCGACCCACTCGATACTTACCAAGGCCCCAGATCCACTCACTAAGAAGAAAATACCATACAAGGGGTCATAGGAAC